AAAATAAATAAAAAAAAACGTTGAAAAAAAAATTAAAAAAAAAAGAATTATCTTACTAGGGTGCCTGGCTGGCTCAGTTGGTAGAGCACACAACTCTTAATCTTGGGGTCATCAGTTTGAGCCCCCACGTTGGCTTAAAAAATTTTAAAGAGAGAATTATATTGCTAGATTAATGCAACAAATATGAGGGTAAACACCTGTGGAGCCTCACAAAATGTACTTCCTACACACTCCATGCTTCACTACAGCAAAAAAGAAAACTGAGAGGAAAACAAAGAATCTAAGAAACAAATAAAGTAAATTTCTGGATAAAGGCAAGAAATGTCTGGATGACAGCTGAGAAACATACTTTGAAAACTTCCACATTGGAGGACAGAGGGCTGTAGAAGTATCTCCAGGGGTGAGGAATTACCTGGTATTATATAGAAAATTGTAAGTTCTAGGGCACCTGGGTTAAGCATCCAACCTTGGCTCAGGTCATGATATCACAGTTCATGGGTTCGAGCAACGTGTCATGCTCTGTGCTGACAGCTCAGAGCCTGGAACCTGCTTCAGAGTCTGTGTCTCCCTCTCTCTCTGCCCCTCCCCCACTCATGCGCACACGCGCGCTCTCTCTCTCTCAAAAATAAACATTAAAAAAAGAAGAAAATTCTAAGTTCCTTTAACAGAGTTATTAGAGAATGTGGCAAGACCCAGTCAGATGCTAAAAGAAAATGAGGACATTATTAACTTTGGAATAACAACATAGCGTAAGAAATAAATTCAATCATAGCATGCTACTTGGGTCAGTGGTGAACAAAGTTTATAGTCATAATAAAAAATACTTTGAGATGTATAAAGATTGAAATAATATATTAGAAAAATGAAGGAGTAATATAAGTAAGCAAAATTTCCACTTTCTGGTAGAAAGTCAAATAATGGATGGACCAAAAGACAGCACCATATTCATATTATTTGAGAATATAAATTCTACAACCACTGCATGAATGAGGAATGTTCCACTGTAAATGTGAAAAGGGACGCCCACTTTTTTTTGTCACAAGCCTTTTGTACGATTTGATTTTTTTACATGATTTGCATATCCTGGGGGTACAGGGCCAATGGTGAGATAGAAAAAAGACAAGATTTTTACATTGAAGAACAATCTCCAAAATGCGTAAACCCATCCACTCTGAGTTGTTGTTTTTATGAATAATTTTAGGTAAAGGCCTATGAGTCGATATTTATTTACAAAAATAATAGTCTTTTATTGTAAGTACTTCCACAGTTTTAAAAAGAAATTTATTTTTCACATTTAAATGTCTTTAAAAGTATTCAAAGGATTATCATTCTGCATTCTTCTTTTCAGAAAGTACTTTTGAGGTAGATCTATTCCGGATTCTTTTTCTTTTTCTCTTCTTTTCAGAGGCAGATGATTTTGTATCCTGTGCTCTTTTCTTTTTCTTCAAACAGCTAAGAGGATTGGGGCCACTTACTTTCTTGTGTTTTTTCTTTCTCCTCTGTTCAGGGTTTTTCACTAAACCCTTTTCTTCTTTGAGTTGCTTGATACTTTGTTTCTCGCGCACTGAGACAAGCTGACCTGACTCTACTGCTTTAACAAAAGCAATTGTTTTGGGAGAAGGTTTGTCCAAGACAATAGTGTTCTGAATAATAAACATGAGAGGGACTCCAGGCTTTTTCTTCACTTTCATAGACAAATTCTGATCCTATTAAAAAGAAAAATAGCACTATTCAGTTCAAATATGTCAATTAAATAAGATGCCTTAAGTGGAAAAAATAGAAGAGATCACAAGTTTTACTTTTCAAATTGGTATGTCTCACTAATAGAGTAAATTTTATGATAAAAAAAAGGAAGATAAACAAGAAATCTGAGCACAAAGAGATAAGTGGCAACAATGTGACACTGGATCTATCAAGATTCTACAACCAGGAATTACAAACTGTCACAAAGGTAAGAATGTTAGGCAATGCCCCACTTTCTACTCTAAGACATGCTTCAAAAAGGGTCAAGAATGTTCAGAGGTTGAAGGGATAGAAATAAAATAAGAATTCATGGACTCAGATTCTAGATTCAGCTCTGCATCTAATTTAGTGATTTTATAATTCTAAAAGAATATGTAACCAAATCTGTATGTATGTGAACTTCTTTGTTAATATCAACCCTGAAAGTCTCTCCTTCCCCTCCTGGTCTTGAAAAGCCAGAAACAGTTCTATACTGGAGGTACAATTTCAAATAATGTACAACATGACTTTTTGAGAACTAGTATAAAATACAGGAACATGCAAAAACACTATGAACACAGAATGTAAAATATTTGTTCCACTTCTCTTCAAGAATGCTGACACATATCATCACATCTTTTTGTCAATAACTATTAAAAATACTTCAGTAATTAAGAAGAAAAATCAATATGCTTAAGGTTCTCTCCTCAAATTCTCTAATGGCATGACAACTGCTTTTATTGACTGCAAATCAACTTAAAAGCCTGTATTTTAAAAAGTTGAAACATTCTATCAAACCACTTCCATCTAATTTTTTCTGATTATAAGCAGCTCCATATGAAATAGAAACAGAAATGATTAAAATTGACTCTAATTTTAAAAGCAGTATCACCTGTGTTGCCACAAAATAATGATGAGGATTTCCCTCTTCAACCATGGAGAGCAGACATTCTGATCCACTCACTGGATTCTTGAAATGGGGACAATTTCGGACTTGGCATTTTTGTGCAATCAGTTTTGCTCCATATAAGTCTTTTCCCAATGTTTCTAACTCTTTTAACACACACCTGAAAAAAAAATGTTATTAGCAGCTCACAATTACAACATACATTTCAGTGTTCACATAAGTATAGAAAAAGTCAAGTTTTTACGAAATTTAAACTATACCATCACGATCTGAATGTGTTATGTGTTGGCCCCAATCATATGGTAGCCGTATCACTCTTTAAAAACCTGGAAAATATTTGGGGCACTTGGGTGGCTCAGTTGGTTAAGTGTCTGACTCTTGATTTTGGCTCAGGTCATGATCTCACAGTATATCCGGGGTGTGGGCATAGGAGTGGGGTGACAGCGCACGGGGCCTGCTTGGGATTCTCTCTCTCTCTCTATACCTCTCCCCCCACTCTTTCTCAAAATAAATCAACATTTAAAAAATAAATAAAAACCTGGAAAACACAAACACCAAGTTGAAGGAAAAACAGTTAAATCTACTGAGCACTTATTATGTGTCAGGCAGCATGCTAATTGCTCTTTACATAAATTCTTGCTTCAATCTCAAAACAGCCCTATCAGGCACCTAACTTGAAAGTTATCCTTATTTTAGAGTACCTCACTCTGAGAGATTCCAAGTAACATGCTGAAACACAGCTCATAAGGGGTAGAGTCGAAATGTGAATCCAAGTAGTTGACAACAGATACATTGCCCCAACCTTAGCGCTAGATGCTTCTACTTCAAGTACAAATTGGTACACCTTTAAACGATTCTCAGTACAGAGAAGTAAAAATTTAAGTCATCGGTTTAATAACAATCACAACTTCCTTTTTCTCTCTGCGTTTTCATATTAATATAAGCCAATGTTTTTTAAAATGTCAGCTATAAACTACCCATATCAAAATGACACAGTGATAACAAATTCTATTAATTTCTACTCCTTTTCACATCCCCATTTCTGCACCTCTTGAGGAGTCAAATGTCAGCATTTTAATAAGCTCTCCGGGCACTTCTTCTATCACACTAAAGAAAAAACAAAATAAAAAATTATGAGAACTACTTAGTCAAAGATTTCTGAAACTCCAGGCAGCCCTTGCCAGACTCTACCTTGCCTCACTCCCTTTATCATCCATTTAGTTTTGTTTAAGACAAGAGATTTTGCTTTCTATTAATCAGTTTTGAACTTTTTGGAGTTTCGGGCCCAAACTCCCATGTATTTACTGGATATTTCCTACGGACGTACACCATCTCTTCAAATTCGTGTCTAAAATCATGAAGATTTAGATCACGAAGCTCCTGGGTGTAAGTCAGAAATCCTAACTGACCTTTTCTTCCTCACCCATAACTCTACCCCATCGGCTGTTGGTATCTGTCTCAGGAATGCCTCTTTGTAGAGCCCTTGGGCTCCAGCCTTTCTTCTCTGAAGTTTAGGCTCCCATTATTTCTTGACTGGACAACCACAAAACGAGTCCGCCGGTCTTCACGAACTTCTTGCTTCTCCAACTCAGCCCTCACACTGTTACAATCAGCTTCTCCAAAAGACAGTTATCAGGTCTGATAGCATTTATCTCTTCATGATGCACACCAAGAACCGACACAATACTATGCTTTAAAATAAGCATAGTAGGGGCGCCTGGGTGGCTCAGTCGGTTAAGCGGCCGACT